GGACGACAATGCGCGACCTCACCGAGCTCGGGTTGCTGAAGGATAGTTTGAAGGTCACGATATAGAACGGATAGAATGGTCAGCTCAATCCCCAGACCCGAATTCGATAGAGCATCCTTGGGACTACCTTGGGAGACAGGTTACTGCTTTAAGTCCTCTCCCAAGGTCGTTAGATGACCTTGAGCAAGGATGTCTGGTCGTTGCTTCCCATTTCACGGACCGATAACTTAATTGACAGCATGGAACGTCGCTACCGCCAATGTATTGTAGCTAGAGGGGGACACATTCCTTATTAGAACCCATTTTTGTAATGTTACCAAACCATGTTTCCTCAAAAAACTGTGATATACTGTTTCTCCAAGACTGGATTTCTCTGCCAAGATTGCAATTTTTTTTTGTAATTCATGTTTTTGTTGAGCTTTATAAATATTCTATGTCATTTATTAAAGAAACTGTTTAGTGACTATGTCCTGTAAATTTCTTGTTTCTACGTTGCTTCATTCTCAAATTAGACACAAAAAACGTGCTGTTCCTTGACGTTTGGAGGGCAGTCTATATACAGGATCATGATATTGATCCATGTCACGCTGTATTGTGTCTCTTTATGCCCTACATCATTATTTGTAATAAATACTGGATGCGGGGCGTAGAGAGAGATTGCATAATGTACCATAATATGCAAACTCTAGACCGTTTGGAAAGCTTTTAATTGCCAAATCCTCAACTTTTCTTTGTAAATTCTTATAAACTTGCAATTATTTTTTCCTTTTTAATTATTTTTTCCTATCTTTTTTTTCACTCTGTCTCTTTTTTCAAGAGTTAGTATGGGAAGGCATTACCAATTGACCCACGGTACATCGCTAGTGTCCCCAATACTTTTACCTGTACTTGTATATTTATGGCTATGGGTTGCTCGATTGTTGGTCCATAAGTCAAGTCCTGCGTTCCTGCTTTAAAGACATGGGTTCGACCAACCGAGAAAACCAGAATCGTTATCCAACTTTGGACACTATCTACTTAATCATGAGTAATGTTAAGTTTGCTGTTGTTAACTGATGTGACAAGTTGGCCTAACACACTATAAATTGGTTAAAATTTTCGTATTCATCAAAAAATTAATTTTATTCTTCTTTTCAGTTTCCGACTTTAACTGCCTTGTTATTTCGTATTTATATTACTATGTTATGCTTACATTACATTATTTATTATACTTTTGAATTACAATTTAATCCCTATGATCTCTTATATTTAATTTATTCTTAAACGATTTCAAAAATTAATATACATATATATAGGACGGAAAGATAAAGCGATTAAGGTAATTAAAATATGTTAATATTATTTATCGAATGAAGATTAATTCTAAATTGATGAAGATGCTGCGATCTTTTTCCAGTGATAAAATTTCGAGGGTGCTTACGTATTACCCCGTCAGTCGGTCACGCAGCGTGATTTCATACCATTTATGGATAACCATGTCCTTCAGAATTCCGCAGTAACGATTGGCGACAGACGACCGTTGCTGAAATTTCCGTTAATGGTCGACGGGATAATACTTACGTACCCTTTCCAGTTTAGTGCAAAGGTCATGGTATTCTCTCAAGTTGGCAAGAGCTTTCCAGTAGTCTAATTCAAGTTTTTACATTTAGTGTATTTATTAAACATTTTGCCTACCTTTGAAAAATTTTTTGCAACCAATTCTTGATATGCAGCTCCTAAGTTTAAATAGTAAATGATAAAATATACACTAAAACCCATATAATGACAAAGTGAGGAAAAATATAAAAATAAGCGAATTTTACAGGATGCCTGTAATAATCTTTGAAAGCAACTTTTAAGTTCAAAAAGAGATGAAATTAAAACAATGTAACTTTATTTTTAGTGCAGATTTAAGAAATGCCAATTCCATTAAAATGAGTCATATTTAATAAAAAAAGTTATGAAAAGATTACGTTTATTTTTACTTATTCTGCTATTAAAATTTAAAGAAGTAACAATTACTTTATGCACAGCTGATACAAGTGAGGCACTTGCCTTATCTGAAAAACTGGAAAAGGCGCCATATGAGTTGTGGAAGGCTAAAAATTCATTACGAAATATAAATTAAGATTGATAACTTCACACTTTGAAATTCAAAAGAAATACCATTTTAAAACACCATATTTAGGTTAGCAAAGCTTTATCAACATGATTTGTGTAATTTAAAAGTATTATATTCTTTCATTGAAGGCTGCTTGACGGAATTCGTTTTACTTTTTTCATTGTCTCTGCTAAATAGCCAACTGGCCATATAGCCAATTGGCTGTCTGATACCCATTGATCATGTAGCCATCTTCTCAATCAGAATGACACTTATCAGTATATGTTTCGACACAGCATAGTGTCAGCATAATAAGCTGCTAAACTATTTAAATATGAATTTTCTGATTTACTTTATTTATTTCCCTTCGTCAATGGGATATATTAACATATATTTTCCAATGGTTTCTATTAATTCCTAGAAAAAGTAAAGACGTTTGTATTATAAATAATACAGCTGAATTAAAAAAAGAACTACAGATATTAAATTGTTCATGAAAGTACTTCGGTTTCACCGTGATTCCCTCATTGTTTTCCAACATTAAAATTTATTGCTGGAGCTAATGTAGTGAAGTTGATTTGCATTTGTGGTAACGAGCTGCATAAACTAAAGTTGCCTAGGAAACAGCCTGTTGCCGATATCAGTAATTCTATACTGTCTCCTTTTAATCTGAGTTGTTGCTCTTAATGTTCTTACTTCGCCAAAACAAGCTTTTTAGAATCCACTAACTGAATGTGGATAACTTGGCGCCAAATTAGTCAAAGTTTGATTGAGCAGACCTAATGGACGAAAATCCATTAGCATAAAGTATTAGGATATAAACCAAGAGTTTCTAGAAATGAAATGTATTGTATTATCAGTTTCTTTCTGAATGTTTTTATGTAAAGTTTAGCTTTTTTATGTTTTCATTATAAAATTTATTTTTGAACAAAACATATAGACTAAGCTTATGGTCCTTCTGTACACTTTATTTTTCCTCAGAACTGCTCATTGAGTTTCATTTGCGTTTATTCTTGGAACAGCAATATAGACGCATGAAACGAACCGGCACATTAGTTTCATTCTCTGTTAAGACTGGTAAAACTTTCCGTTTTTCTGAATTGTTCTATTATTTACTATAAAACAATAAAATGAATGATTTAATATCAAAGAAATAAAAAAAATAAGTTTAAAATTTTGATTATTTTTTGGACAAACATAGGACAAGCCTTTCTGGCAAATTCTAAAATAACCGATATTAAGACTGCAAAAAAACATAGATATTAGCTAATACCGATAATACGGGGAAAATACATTCCTAATATCGGTAACAGAGGTGGTAAATAAACATTCTATTAAAGTAACTGTAATAAAAATAAAGGTTTTTTTTGTATTAACGTTTTTTATTTAAATAGAAATTAAGTTTACAAAAGTACTCGATAATACGCTGTAAGAACTAAGGATTTATTAAGCTTATTGGATAAGCCCACTGAATATTTGACATTTCGAACTAAGCTCAAAGTACGAGAAAACGGAGGGGCTCCATGGGTGCTTTGGTATTCTTTCGCATGTGTGACATGGATATGGGTCAGTTTCTGTTAGAAAGACCGCCTCAAAGATACTCTTCCCTTTTAGAAGGTAGCCCTCACCTACTTATTATTTAACCAAGAATTAATTATTTAACCAAGAAAACTGAAAACTCTACTTACTAATAATCTAAAATTATTTCAAGCGAGTCAAAAACATCATTATTTTGTATTTCATAAAATTTCCAGCTAATTTGATTTCTTAACATTAATGCATCGAATCTATACAAGGGCATTAAAGGATACTTCATTCTAGACTGAAAATAATATATTTTTAAGCAAATCAAATAAAAAAAAACTATATGTATTACCTGAAGAACATTTGAGCGTTCCCCATGGTGGGGAGGGTTCTAGGAGCGTCTGATGAGAAGCATCAAGGAACCTCTGAAGAAAATTTTAGGGAGAGCATTACTGACTTTCGAAAAGCTCTCTACAATATTAACTGAACTCGAGTGGTGTACTAAATATAGACCTTTACATACGAGAGCAACGAGCTGGTGAACCTCGCCCGCTCACACCTTCACAGTTTTACTACCCAGGACGTGATACATTTAAACTTTCCCGATGCATTTTTAACAAGGTGTCCGACAAAGAGACTTTAACTAGGAGGAAGCTTTACCAATCTAGGTTCTTAAAATCAACATGGATCAAACGGAAAGAACAATATTTACTCCATCTCAGAAATGCGCATAACTTTGCTAATCCTAAAACTGAGCGGAACATTAAGTCTGGAGACGTTGTGTTGGTAGAAGGACCAAAATAATGCAAACTACTTTAGGACATGGGTGTAATTGAAAACTTGATTATAGGAAGAGATGGACATGTTCGAGCGTGCCCGTTCGCACTCCCAAAGGACAATTCAGAAGATCGATCCAAATGTTATATCCTTTCGAAATTTAGTTTAGAACTTTTGATATTATTGAGTTTTGTATTATATTATTCATTATTATGTTTATTTGTGGCTTTGATATATACTAGTATAGACTATTCTTTTATATTATTCATTTATATACAATGTTGTCGTACTATTTAGTATTAATCCATTATTAATTAATGTTAGTATTGTTATGTAGGTAAGTTGGTGTACTCTTATTAAAGAGTACAGGTGGGAAGTGATGTAGAAAAAAGAGATAGAGGGCGCTGCGCCGCCCGTATGTTTAGCTAATTAAGAGTTTTCACGAGAGAAAGTTGAGAGGTTGATGAGAGTGGTATAAACTATATATCCTGTAATCTGTATATAATATTTGTATATAGTCTTCTCTTTCATTAAATAGATTTAGTTAAAGGAAAGTGTCTTTGTTTGGGCCAATAGAACACAAGAACCTAATATTATAGAAGATTAAGTAAGTTATTACAGACATGGATCCAGCGTGCCCGGTTGAAATTGTACGTGCCAGGTTGGAATAATAGTGGATCAATAATGGTCTTGGGAAATTTCTGTACGGTAAATATTTTGGGCCTTTGATACTTGTACCAAGCACCAGAGTCTGGACTGCATATTTTTTCACCTGAGGCAAAAAGATAAATTCGTCTTTCTATATAAAGTAAAATTAATTATATATGTACACATTTATATTCATCAAATACAATCATTTTTAATGACTCTTAGAAAGTTTTAATCGTAGTTTTATGTATTTAGAAAAATGATGTCGTGCCTAGTTTATATTTTTTTAAGTAAAAGTGTTAAAATAACTTTATAAATAGCAAATAACACTGAAAGAGCATAACGAGTCATGTAATTAGTCTAAAACGCATTGCACTAAATGTCTTAAAGCACCTTTTTTTCAATTAATTTAATATTCTTGTCTTCTTGTACTACATTCAAAGTTCACACGCCGACGCATAAAGGGATCACTAGTTCTATCTTTATATTCTGGATAATTCATTACTAGATAAATGCTGAGCAGCAGAAATATAATACAAATGTTTTCCACGTTTATGTCTTCAGATCGTTAGTCCATTACATAACTTTTTATGTCATAGATCTAAATTTCGGATTTAAGTTTCAATCTTCAAAGATGCTGTTATTTTGATATTGTCGGTTAATTGGGTGCTATTTACAAGGGAATTTACTGTACTGACTTTTCTGACTTTAAATAATTAATAACCAAACCAAATCTAAACCTAAGTTAACAATTAAATAAATTTCTGATTGATTTGATAACTGATACGCAAGTCCTTTGTGGAGGACTTTCTAAGGGAAATTAGCTTACATTCACGTTACACTTGAGGAGCAAAAACAAGAAAGCATGTCCGCTCGTTAGGATTTGACCAGGGTCGAATTATCAGTGGGCTTATCTATTAGGCCACTTGTGATAATTTAAGTCTTCATTTATTACAGAGCAATTCAAACAACTTTTTTAACTTGTTTTTTATTTTAATACAAATATTTAAAAAAAATTTAAAAGCTTTTAGATTTTATATTACACCCAAAGGGGCTTTTATTCAACGTTTCGTGTGTTACCTTTAGTTATAAAATATCATGTTCTTCGCACTTAAACCATAAAATTTAGTTCAACAGCAATATCACAAAATAATTTCAAAAGAGCATATCGTTAAAATTTCCGACACCGGGTTTCCGGATGCCCATATTCGGGTGAAGGATTACGTTATTCAGAATTTGATGGCTCTATGTACCGTTGTTTTATTACAATGTGAGAAATATACATACATTTATGCAGATTCTTCGTTATTTAATTTTTTTAATATAACACAAGGCGATAATATTTGGTGGAAACAATTTGAAAAGTGATACAGCTCTTTAAAGGTTTCAACGCAAAATGCCAAAACGAAATTAATAGCTCTTTTGTACTAACGCTTTTTGGGCTAATAAAATATTTTTACTACATATTTGTTTATAGTTAATGTAATAAAACATTGCGAGTTTACAATCCGTATTACCATTATGAGAAATACTTTTTTTAGATATGCAATATGAGGTTTTTGAAGTCTTAGTTACCTCTGAATAAATCAGGGTAATTTGTCCTTTCTTTCTACAAGAAAATTTAAAATTTTAAACCTCTTTGGTCTTTGATAATAAAAAATGCCTTTGTTTGTTCATTATTAGCAGTATGATAAATCAGAAAATCTTGTCTTACCTCTTTTCTTTACATTCCAGTCTTAATAGAAAATTAAATAAAGGTGGCAATTCTTTTTATCCGATTAATCAACAATTATAACTGTTTCTGAAACAACCGTAAATGAATCCAAATGAAGAGATTTGAAAGAAACGGAATGTGGGTACATCAGGACAAAATTCTAAGTTATAGTTCTTCCAACGACAAACATTATAATGAAAAATGGCTCAAGCTAAACTTTATACGAAAAAAATATTAGAAAGAGTTTTTAATAAAATAAGCTTTAATTTAAAACTCATAATTAATAAACTAAAAGAAAAATAATTTATTAGATAGTTTACTGAGAACAAGAGATTAAACAATTCTCTTTCCGAAATTCCTCCACAATTTTATATCCAACAATAATAAAAGGGGGTGTGTTTTTGATACATGTATTGAGGTAATGGCTTATACTATTCACAATGCAGTCCGATTGATAGATTTCGTTATTTAGGCGTCCAAACTTTTATTATTCGTTTTTGTTTAGAACCCACAGAAACTGCATTGGCGAGAAAAAGCGTAGCATTGGCTGGCTTGACAATAAAATACATCTAATTTATAGAAGTCCATGTTTAATCTCGCGATGCTAATTTAGCAAAATTCTGCGAATTAGATTTGATGAAGTAAATTTAAATCGAGAGTTAGTGAACTCCAGAAAGCTTGTTATGGCGAAGTAAAACCACAAAGATTTACAGTTCAAATTAAACAGAGGTAGAAGATGATTACTGATGTGGTTAGTTCGGTGTTTTTAATGGAAATTTGATATATAAAGCTTATTACCACGAATTCAAATCGTCTTCAGTACATTAGATGCAATAATAAATTTTGATGTTAGAAAATAGTGTATGCAGCACTGAGAAACTGCAGGAATTTTGAAAAAAAAAAAAAATGAAGCCATTAATTATTCTCTTAATTTACCTGCTTTATTTATGACAGAAAATTAACCTTAACCCCCTTCCAGCGGCCGAACGGTAAAGTCGCGGAACACTGGTAGTTCGACCTGGTTTCAAAGCCCGGTGAACAGGTTAGCTGCATGGTCTTTCCCCATGTATTACGTGGATATGAGTCAGTTTCCTTTAAAACGTTTTCCACGAAGGCAGCCCACTCCACAGGCAGATAGCTCTTGAATTGCTTTACCTTAATCAATTAACGAAACTAAACCTTAAACCATTTCCAGGAATTAACGGATTAATTTCCAGGAATTAATTATTAATGATGGGATAAAATGTATACCAAAAAACCTCGATTGCATTGAAATAATAACGTAATACTTTATTAATTTTACTGAATAATCTTTATGTGTATTTTATGATTATCTGAATAATTTTGCTGCTGGTTATTGTGATACTATATCATGTCGTACGTTAACAGCGAGACGCCCTATTGTCCGAGAAGACACATGCGAGCGATAATTAATGGAAATCAGACAATGGGCCTTTTAAATGAGAATGAAAGCAACATCAAGAATAAATAATCTTGATAACGTCTGATTACTTGGCACAGCGCAGAGAAAGACACATGATCAAGAATAAATATAATACTTATGAATTATCACAAATAATGATCATAAAATTTTGCTACTTTAAATATGACGTCAGTGTTTGCTTTTTTCAAAGTTGAAAATTAATTGTAATTTCTGTTAAAAAATGGGAAATTTTTTTTAACTCTTCATATAAAATGTGCGCCCTTCTACACTCGTATGCAAAATTACGAGAATTTGCCCATTATACTGAATTTCTGAAAAACTGATGGGCAGATTTTAATGAAACTTGGTATGAATTTACATTTATAACAGAGAAAGAGATGTACCATTCAAAAGTCATTTTATGTTCGCATAATTGTTAGTAAAGCTCATAGTGCAAGAATGTCCAAAATTCACGTTGTGATATTGAACTCAAAATGAGTCCAATATGGAATATGATCGCCTCTCACAACCAGACGGGTCGCGCAGCGTGACGGCATATTGGGAAGGTGACAGGTGAATGCAGGGCCGGACACCCGGACAAATTTGTATGGCAAATCGGGTGTCGTCCGGTACCCGCACGTATGTAGAGCAACTCGACCCTCGCGGCAGCCCGGGCAGAAGGCAACTTAGAATTTCCTTGGGCAGGAGGCAGCCTAGGATTTCCAGTGGCAGTCGCTTCAACTCCTGCAACAAGGCAATTTTCAACTCCGAGGTTCTTCAAAGAAGGATATGGCGAGATGAAATTGTCTTCTCAAGAGTGTCCAGATATGTTCTATAGAGTTAAAATTAGAAACTTCTGGCACACAGCTCTATCTCATGTACCCTTCCGGCAACTGTAGGCTATGAAACTCGGGTTCCAATGGCAGCATACAACTCACGTGAAAGTTGTGAAGCTGCAGCAGTCCTGTGTTGCTCGCTGAAAGTGCGAAGTAACAATCCTCATTCGTCGTTGCGGATCTTGGTCGACCTTGTCCAGGTCTCCTCGATTATGGATATGGTGTCTTTAAATTAGTTTGACACTGGACGTTACGTTTAGCTCTGCAGCTACTTGTGTTTGTGAATGGCCTGTCTCCCATCTACCGGCAATTCTGAATCTCATTTCGTCATGCATACCTTCGTGGCTACTCATTTTATGTGATGCCTTATAAAATTTACTCTTGCGAGAAACACGGCAAATGTTGTGAAAAGTATGAGCACGCAAATCGCCGAAAATCCCTCGTGCGCTTATATCCCTTCCACAATCACAGCTTCACAGACACGGACATGTACACCTACCAATTCGGCTCTGAATATTTGCATAATTCTTCAGCGGCATAATTAGTACCTTTGGTTGAATACGTTTCGCAAAATTAGACATAAGTGGGATATTCTCTGGATTTTACACACCAGTGTATATGTTTACATGAGGCAAGTGCCTCATTGCTTTACCCTTGTATCGGCTATGCCAAGTACCCTCATTGTATTATGCGTAGGTATGCTAAATGATGATTTATACCCCTTCATGCTTTCTTGCCATCCGGATGGAAATGGAATGTTCCAGCAGGACAACTGCTCTCGTCACGAAACACGGTTGGCTACGACTTGATTCGAGCAGCATTTCACTGAATTCTGCCTGCTGAAATGGCCACCGATAAAAGTTATCTGGCACGCCATACCTCCGGAACACTTCCGTAGACTTTTTGAGTCCATGCCTTGTGGTATGGCAGCTGTTACACAGGGCAAAAAAACAGGAATTCTTTACAAACGAGGCATCCTTAATTCAAGAGCGCTTCGGTGTAAAAATGACCGAAGTTTCAGTAGTTCCTGATCTTTTTACTCACTTATCTCTCCAAAACCAGCAATCTGCTCGATTTTTCCTTCGGACTGAAAACTGAGACAGTAAATACATGAACTGCTGAAGCAACCGTTTTCTGTTCACACTTTGCAATTTGACCTTCGACGCTTTGCCCTTATA